AGTAGTAGTAGTAGTAGCAGCAATACTAATAGTAATAGTAACGGTAGTAAGACGTGTCATATTAGTGAATAAAAGTCTCAGTATTACGGAGGTTCTAAGCTTTTGGGCACCCCCCGCCTTCGCGGCGCTTTGCAGAGCGGCCGTGGCAGCAACAGCCTCGTCGCCTCCAAGCGCCGCTGCCCGGCCCAGCTCTGCCTCGAGGGTTTAGGGCTTCAGGGTTTGGTTTAGGGTTCAGAGTTTAGGGTTTAGGGCTCAGGGTTCAGAGTTTAGGGCTTCAGGGTTTAGAGTTGAGGTTCCAGGGAGTGCAAGTTCAGAATGGTATAGTGTCACAGTCTAAGGGGCTCAGAAGACGATCTATTTCTGATCCACATCTATCTTCTTAAGCTGATAGCTTCTGACTTATGACACCTCCCTTAGCAGGGACCATTCAGAGCAGTCCGGCTAGTTCCCACCTCGGCTGCTTCCACCACTTGCCTGCGCATCTCATGCAGGGCTCGGGGCTGACGCGCTCTACTTTGCTGGAGGAGTTGGCAGGACTCAGGAGTCTCAAAGATTCGGGATCCAACGGTTTAGGGTTTTGACACTCACACTCGGAAGGGTATAGGGCTTAGGGTTTAGGGTTTTTGAAAAGCACATACGGAAACCTAACCAACCCCCCCGGCCAAATATGTTTCTAGATGCTGGACCTCTGGTCCTAGACCCTAAACCCTACAAAAAGTAAATGTCAGTGATTACGATACGATATAATGACCTCATTATCTAATACCAGACAGATGCAGCAAACACATAACTATAAACAAATGAGCTCACGAGCAAGCACATGTGTTTATGCATACATGTGCGCGTACATGTGTATATATATATATATACATGCACACTATAGACATATCCATCTTCCAAAGACCATCCCCGCCGCCAGGGAAAGCTCCGGGCCTGGCAACCTCATCCAGGCCTCAGATCCGGGAAAAAAGAGTGCCAAAAAGAGTTGGGATGTAGGGTTTAGGGTTTAGGGTTAGGGTTTAGGGTTTAGGGTTTAGGGGTTAGGGCAAAACCCCAGGGGTTTCTTATGCATTTAGCCACTTGGGGCCTTCATTGGTATTATGGAAGAGCTAGAGAAGAAGGTTCAGGGCTCTTCGGGTTTAGGAGTACTTAGAAAGAATAGGCTCCTTCAGTTGCCTTGGTTTCAAAAAATCAGGGCGAAATACACGGCCCGGGTAGTGAGGTTCGCATGTCGGCTCAGGGGAGAACTCCTATAGCACGCATGGTTGTTTCCAAAAGGGGCCGAAGCAATCGGAGCCATAATCTGAAAGAGACTGGGACCCTGAGCACTCCCTCTCGCTTGCAGCTTGGAAGCCTGCGCTCGAAGTTTCACTGAAGCTCTAGAAGTCAGGCTAAACGAACCCCAAGCCCTAAAGCGTTGAAGCGCCCCCTCCTAAACCCTATACCCTATGCCCCATGCCCTAAACCCCAAACCCTAAACCCTCCCTCTCCAATAAAGTCCAAGAGGCCATGAGCCAAGGCCATCCGGTGCACCGCTGCCAGTCCCGTCAGGTCTGCATCCTTGCACAACTGGCTCGTAGGGGCCGACACATCTTCAAAAGGGTTAGAGCTTTTAGGGAGGTAAAGCTGTCGAACCCAAACAGTTCGCTGGATACCGGGGGGGGTTGTTGCTTTATGTAGATAATGTTGTTTTCCTGCAGCTCTCACCATCTGACTGTACACGAAAGCAGTCGCCTTCTGCACAGGGGTCGTTGTCTAAAATTGGGTCCCTTTTTAGTGCGGAATTTTTATAAAAGGACCCTAAGATGGACCCTAATTTAGATAACCACCTATAGGTAGGTCTCAATGACTGTGAAAAGGCTTGGCCTTGCTGTTCCACTGCTCCAGGACCCAGGTTGTCATGATATGAAAATCCGGAAGCTGTCTTCCAGGGCCGAAATATGTATCCAAACTCTGAGCCTTTTGACCATGAACTTATACACAAAACTGACTAAACCCTAACTCTAAACCCGGAATACTGAACCTAACCCCTGGAAGGCCTCGTTCAAACCTAAGCCCTGAACCCTCTAATTAATACTTAACACAAAGATGACTCATCTCGGAACTGGGAGCTAGGATTAGGGGACCCTTGGGGATATAGACCCTCTCATTAAGGTTCCTTTCAAGAGAGCCAAAAGTAGGGTTCAGAAGGGGTACCCTTTAAGGGGTACCCCTGCTAATTGCTACCTAGGAACCCTCAACCTCTGAGGCTCCCGACCACGGCTGCTGCACTCAAACGCTCCAGCAGAGCCTCGCCATAGAGAGCACCGTGGATGGCCCTCACCTGCTCTGAGGAATCCTTAAGATAGGGACCCTACGAGTTATAAGTCAGAGGCACGGTTTAGGGTTTAGGGTTTGAGGTCATAAGGTATGGTTTAAAGTTTATAGACCCTCGCGATGCCAGCATCGCAGGCGAGATTGGTCCATGGTTCGCAGAGAGAGGCACATTTGGCCCCAAGTTGCCACTGGTATCGGTCACAACCAACAACAAAGGGTTTACACTCTCACAACTCGGACAACAAAGGGTTTAGGGTTTCGGGCTTAGGGTTCATGGAGATTGTGTGGATTTTCGGAGCTTTTTCTTGGGGGCGTTGCCTGCTGTTGGGGCTTTCCCAAGCCAGGATATGAAGCAGGGTTTCGGGCTTGGGCATTTTTTCGAATTTCGCAACCTGGCAGGGCTGGAGCTCAGAGTTCAAGTCTTAATCACTATGGCTTGGGGTAATTAGAGTTAGAGAGTCGACTCTCACGAGCTGGTGAAATTCCTGATGCTTTCGAGCAGGGTGGATCTGAAAAGTGAGACATGTACAACAAATCGCCACCTTCACTGCAACAAAGGCCCTGCAGTGCAATGAGATGTAGCTCTCACGACTCGCACAAACCAGATGAGGATTCTTGTTCTAACTCTCGCACTGGTTTAGCTTGAGGGTGTAAGGCTGTGAACTCAACAGTGGCTGCATCACAGCCTCGTCGCGTTGGCAATCGTATTCGCCCAAAACACTACCGTAGGCACCGTGGATCATGATTGTGGCAAACACAACATTGCCAGTATCAACAATGAAAGAGCCAGAGGACTTTCGAAAATCACTCTACAAGCCTCGTGGTAGACACCCAGGTGCTCCATTCCTTTCTCCTCGCAGGTAAACTGACCGCACAACCTGAAAACAATGAACTGCCTTTCATGCTCCTGAATACAGCATACAGCATACTCCAAGAGATATAGATGCAAAATGAGCACTTCAAAATGTCGATGGCTAGGTACCTCTGTGTAAACAAAGAAGCAGGCACAAAAACAGAACGCATACAAACAGACAAGCGAATGTTGATTCCTGCCTGCAGGTCTTATGTTCTCCAGGCACGATAACGCATGCTGAACATCGTCATGAGAGTGTGAGGTGCAATGCTTGAAACATGAAGCCCATGGACATCAAGTGCGAGTACTCAGTAAATGGTTTAAGTGTCGAGCTTGCACGGCTGCAATAGACAAACATCCACAGCTGGAAAATGTGCCGTTGCGGAAACGCATCTTGCGCGTGTTGGTGCATGAGTTGTGTGTGCACTTCGGTTGTTGGGCCTTGGCACATCGTCAGGGCTCGGAGTTCTAGAAAGGAACATCACCCCCAACCCCACCCTAAACCCTAAAGCCCCTGAACACGTAAACTGTCAGGACCGGTGAGATCTCACAGACGTTCAGAAAGGCGCGAAAGCCCACTCGGCACGCGTCCAAACACATTTGGGCTACTGACTTCTTGGGGCTTTGGGAGTTCTAGCACACTTGGGCCTTAAGGCTTTGAAGGTTTAGAGAAAGCGTTGCAATCTCTGCATTCCTCTGGCGAAAAACCCCCGAAATTCTTCATGGACTTGCCCAAGCTTCCCGAGCGAAGCGCATGGCGTTTCGCATCTCCGCTTCTCGACCTTTCTTGACAAAAGCCTTTACGGTCTTGTTTGCACTGCTTTTTTCAACTACGGGACGGGGTGGGATTCAACCCTTACGG